ACGGAATCTTTTAGATCTCGTTACGTAGAATTGAATGGTTTACTCATAAATTTTTAAAGATACGAGCTAAAAATGTATATTTTAACATTTTTGGAAATATACTTCTTTTCTATGCTAATTTTATTCCAGACAACAATATTAATATTATGGCCGCTGACATTTCAATTAGATTTTCTACTCCCTTTTGCTGTTTGCTTTTTCTAAAGAAATGATTTATTAGCACTATATGTATATATAATATTAGAATGCTATGCTACATCTGTTCGGTAATAGTATACTATGCAACCAATGCGGTAAACGGCATTTGACTCATCAGTTTATTTAACACAAGCGGAGCGAGTGTTTAATAAACGAGTGACAGAAAGTTTACCGAGCGTGTTGCATATTATACTCTTTCTACGACTGTTAGTCTTTGGGTACATTTTCGCAAAACAACACGAATACATTCACTGGCATGACCAATTCTGACGGTCATGCCAAAATTCAAAACGTGGGAAATATTTTCGAAAACATCCCATTGATCCAAATGTCCGAAGTGGCTCGGATCCGTGGCAAACGCAACTGACGTGGTAAAGTGAAGCTTTCCGCAAGCTAGATCGGGTGTAATTAGGCATTTTACAGATGGGAGCAGAAAAAATATCTAATTTTACCAGATTAGTTTCGTTTCGCACGGATCTGAGCCATTTCGGACGGGTTTTGGAGCAATCGGATGTTTTCAGAGATATCACCGGACGGATCGAATTTTGACGTTTGTCAATTCTGACGATCATTACAGTGAATGTATTCGTATCGTTTTGCAAAAATGTACCCAAAAATTAACAGTCGTAGAAAAAGTATAGTATGCAAGATGTTTGGTAAACTTTTTAAGTCATTCCTTTATTATGCACTCGCTCCGTTGCGCTCCGCTCGTGTCAAATAAACTCATGAGTCAAATGCCGTTTACCGCACTTGTTGCATGGTATACTATTACCGAACAAATGTAGCTGCGCTCCGCTCCACTTGTTGCATAATATATTATTTCATGTTCATATATGTAAACCGCCGGATACGCATGCTCAAAATTTTTATAATGTGGATTGACTCTCCTTATAAGATTGCTGCATGTAGATACCAGAGAATCAAGGATTGAAGATGTGCCTCCAACTACAGAGAACACTTATTAACAATAATCTCTAGAAATGTGCCAGCCGGCCTTTGTAGCTGGTGGTTCAACAGACTGGAATTGGTTTAAACATAAAACCAATTTAAGCGAGTAACACGACATATAGACAAATGTTGCATTACACTCCCGAAAGCCATTAGATTTGCAAATTAAACAAATATTTGTCGATCGGTAGTAATGAACAATGTTTTAATTGAATGTGCCTTATACAAGGGAACCTGAATGACCTACATTCGCTCGATGCTCTCGGACTGTTGGTTGGATGATTTCAATTTTCAAAGAACATTCCACCAAGAGTCGATTCTCTGTGCAATATGGTCGGATGAAACTAGACACAGCCACACTGCACACGATCTCGTCGATTAGTACTATCAAACAACGTAGACATAATTATTTTGCGCCGATCATCGAGCCGTACACGAAATTCCTTATTCATTACGTTGTTGTGCGAGCGCTCACGGATAATAGTTTGCGGATTTTGTATTAAACAGCCAGGATCGAATCTACAGTATGTTTCCTAATTCCATTTAATTTTTTAACAGCTTACAGGACCCGTAAAAACGTATTATAGATCATTATTATTGTTAGAATATATAATTTGAACACTACAGTCGGATTTTTTTAAATAACGCTGTAGATACGAGGGCAGCGCCAAAATTTCCCGGCCTGAATATGAAAGAAACAAAGTAGAGTAACAATTTTTTATTATTTTTCAATATAATCCCCCTTAACTTCAATGCACTTATTACATCTCTTTATTAACAACTCAATCCCTTTAAAAAATATAACAGCTAAAACAACCTCTTTTAACTCAACTTCGTCGTTAAACCGCCGTCCACGTAAGTCCTTTTTCAAATATCCAAACAAATAATAGTCGCTGGGGACATATCTGGACTATAGGGAGGATGTTATATCTGTTAAAAATGGCCTGTGCAACACCAGCAGTATGGACAGGTGCATTATCGTGCAAAAGACGTACGCCTCTGGTCAGTTTTCCTCGACGTTTTACACGTATGCGGTCTCGCAATTTATGTAATAATGTTGCTTAATATTTACCATTGACAGTGGTATTAGTTTCTTTAAAATCTATCAAAGAATTCCTGAATTTTCTTGGAGGTGCTTCACCTTTACGACGCCACTCCACTGATTCTTTTTTCTATAGAGTGTCATAATAGAGAACCATAGTTTCATCTCCCGTCACAGGCTTCGGTTCCGACCCACAGTGTTCCAAAAAAGACCGCGCACACTCGACAAGGCGTTGGTTTTGAATTGCCGAAAGGTTTTTAGGAACCCATCTTGCATTAACCTTATGCATTCCTAAATGATCATGCGTATCAGAAAGCTTAGTAATTTCCGAGATTTCCTTGACCTTTAAACGTCGATCACTCAATACCACCTTTTCCACAATCGCAACAATATTTTCCGTTATGACCTCCACTGGTCGCCCATCTTCAAAGGACTCCTGCCCCATTCGAAAACGTTTTGACCATTCTTTCACTACAAAATACGAAGGAGAACTTTGGCCGTACACACCATCCAGCCTTTCTTTAATGATTTTAGGTGCTAACCCTTCTTTTGTCAAAAACTTTATGACTGCTCTATACTCAATTTGCATTATGTGCGACATTTTTTCGGGCACGTCTTGTTTAAAATGCCGTCAATAAAAAACTATTTCACGCAAAACTTCAATTTTTTTTCGCAGACTACTAAGATACATATTTAAAAGAAGACAAAGTTTTATCGCGATACTGGAGCTGCATCTATGTCAGGCCGGGAAATTTTGGCGCTAACCTCGTAGGTCGGGCTGGACCCGTTTATTGGCCATCAAGGTCACAACCCTATGATTTAATATTTGGCAATATTAAATGAACTTTTGCATACTTTGTTGAATTGAGGATTAGCAACTATTATTTGAAAATCACAATAATATAAAAGCAGAAAAAATGATGAATATGAAATGAAAATAAATAAAGTCTACTGATCATCATCGTCATAAATTTTTCAAACAATGAAATCAAAGAAACCAAAGGTATTTAACATTAAAATAACTTCGTCACCAAAATTCACCAAAAATAAAATGGCGTGTGCAACGTGTCACTTTTACACCTTCATTATACACTGTCATGGCCCAACCGGACATTTTCGTTAGTTTTGGTTAGTTTGGTTGGTTACATGTATGGGAGCGATAGGATTATCTCGATATAATTTAGCAACTGCTGTTATTGCGACATTTGTCAGTCAGAATATTCAGGACTTGTTAATATAATTGATACGCAGTCGAACAATTTCTTATTGCATAATATATTGTTTTGCAATAAAAAAATCCATACAGCAAATAAGGCCCATCACCAAAGCAATCGAACCAAACCGTTCACTGAAACACTGGTAAACAAAAAAAAATACAACGATAAGTGCTACCATTTTTAAAAAAATAGGACTGTTGTAAAGGCATCTGTGGTCAGGGCTGTTTAGTGCTCCTGTCGCAAGTATACATCTCGGTAATATTCTCCATTTTGAAATAAGTGACTTGCCTCTTTTTTTTCAAAGAAACTTCCACAGGCTACTGTTATAGCTTATATACAAAACAAAAACCGACGCAGAAGGAATCTGAAAAAGTTGCTTTGAAAACTGCCGCATTAGATTATTTTTAATTTATCAGATTCAGCATATACTTCTTTGATACATCTGTAAAATCTACTTTTAATAACGATTGGTTTCTAAACTTTGTAGAAAAATATCTTAAATATTATTTTTTTTTACTCCCGTCTGTAAAATGCTTAATTACACACCGATCTATCATGCAGGAAACATCACTTTACCACGTCAGTTTCCTTTCCCACGAATCCGAGCCACTTCGGACATTTCCGGGATTTTACCGCACGGATTTGGGAGCAATCGGATGTTTTCGGAGATATTTCCCACGCTTTGAATTTCGGCATTTGTCAATTCTGACGGTCATGTCAGTGAATGTATTCGTGTTGTTTTACAAAAATGTATAGCAGAAATATCGAAAAAGTATAGTATGCAACATGTTAGGTAAAGTTTTTAACTCACTCGTTTATTAAACACTAGCTAAACTTGTGACTCAAATCCCGTTTACTGCACTGGTTGCAGTGAAAAAGTGAAAAACTTCTTCAGTAAACATTATCTAAAAATAGTTTCAAAAAGCTTTAAAACAATTAATTAAAAAAAAGTTCAACAAATAAAAGCAAAATATCGGGGATATATACACTTTCTTGTAATGTTTTCCTCAAAACACACATAAGCCAAACAGGAAGATGTTTTAGCAAACGAATAAGAGAATATCACAGTTGATTCCTTAATGAAGCTTGACTCCAACCATACAATTTATTTAAAAGAATGTAATCATGGATTCAATCAAAATTTTCAACTTTTAGATTATGAAACTTAACGATACACACTCGAAGCTTGATCAAATAGATCTTCATGACTCACCCTTGTTAAACCTATTTTCAGCGTAATTACCTTGTTGCCTTGTAAAAGTGGTGCCTTATATTAGTTCTGAATTAGATTTTGTGAAAGTCCTAGTAAATAGTTTATTTTCTAAAAGCATTGTGGGTTTTAATATTGACCAAATATCGACTAGGAGCAAACTAATTATATTAATAATAAATATATTGCTTTCGTTTTTTTTGCAAAGAAACATTTTTACCAAAGTTCCTTCGTATTATAATACGATTACTTTCAACAAAAGGAATTAAATGATATTTATGTTATTCTACTGCAACGACACTGTGTTCAATATGTCATTTAATTTAATCACAAAATTTCAAACCGATCGAAGCTCTCGTAATCCTATTTCGAAAATCTTACTCACCTTCGATGTTATTTGTAAAGCTTTGAACTATTCAAAAGTTTGGAGTTAAAGAACAATAAAACACCAATCGAATCGCCACGGAGCGGGAAACTTCGCACTTCACAAGACTTGCTTTTACGCGTGCTGAACTCTAGACTCCCGCAGAGTTGGGAAATAAGGGATGGAAAACGGCGGTCACGAGATGATCAGAGTTCGAGCGCGCTGAAACGACTGGCGCCACATGGACCCTACCCGTCATACGGCGGGGGTTGATGATGCCAACGCGGAGACGATATCATCGATTCTCCATAAGCTGAAACGATAAAAGTAGTTTTCCCGTGCAACACCAATGGATTTTTGCTTTAAACTTAAATCGTCAAGGAAAGTTTTTCTATGGGAACGGGTCACAGATCACGTCAGACAAGTTTTTCCCTGACTGCGATGGCGCGTTCTCAAAATGTGACTTCAGTCCGTTTCCCGCCTTCTGTAGCTTGAAATGAAGTTCGTTTCAGAAGTTTTCGTTGATTTCTTATGTGCAATAAACTTTTAATAACACGGACAACCGTAAAATAATATTGACATTCCTTTTAGTTAACTTTTATTTTTTTATTATTCTCGCAATAAGATAGAAGAGTTCGGTTTTGGACAATTGTTTGCGCAAAAGTTAAGAGTTATATTTCTATTTTAATTATATCACACACTGCCAATGTATAATTTTTATAGAAAATTATTTAATGTACGACGTTAGCGCCAAAATTTCCCGGCCTGACACAGATGCAGCTCCAGTATCACGATAAAACTTTGTCTTCTTTTAAATATATATGTTAGTAGGCTGCGAAAAAAAATTGAAGTCTTGCGTCAAATAGTTTTTTATTAAAAGCATTTTAAACAAGACGTGTCCGAAAAAATGTCGCAAATAACTCAAATTGAGTATAGAGCAGTCATAAAGTTTTTGACAAAAGAAGGGTTAGCACCTAAAATTATTAAAGAAAGGATGGATGGTGTGTACGCCAAAGTTCTCTTTCGTATTCTGTAGTGAAAGAATGAGCAAAACGTTTTCGAATGGAACAGAAGTCCCTTGAAAATGATTCAAGAACTGGTCGGCCAGTGGAGGTCATAACTGAAGATATTGTTCCGATTGCGATTGTGCGTGAGTGATCGATGTTTAAAGGTCAAGGAAATCTCAGAAATTACTAAGCTTCCTGATACAAGTGTTCGTGGAATCCGGCATGATCGTTTAGGTATGCATAAGGTGAGTGCAAGATGGGTTCCTAAAAACTTTTCGGCTATTCAAAAACAACGCCGTGTCGAGTGTGCGCGGTCTTTTTTGGAACTCTGTGAGTCGGAACCGAAGCCTGTGATAGAAACTATTGTGACAGGAGATGAAACTATGGTTCTCTATTATGACCCTCTATCGAAAAAATAATCAATGGAGTGGCGTCGTAAGGGTGAAGCAGCAACAAGAAAATTCAGAGTCTGCCAGTCAACAAAAAAGGTGATAGCCACGATCTTTTGCGATTGTGAAGGAATTCTTTTGATAAATTTTAAACAAACTAATACCATTGTCAATGGTAAATATTACGCAACATTATTACATAGATTCCGAGACTGCATACGCCTAAAACGTCGAGGAAAACTGACCAGAGGCGTGCGTGTTCTGCACGATAATGCACCTGTCCATACTGCTGGTGTTGCACAAGCTGCCATTTTAGAGTGTGGGTTCCAACAGTTAGATCATCCTCCCTATAGTCCAGATATGACCTCCAGCGACTATTATTTGTTTGGATATTTGAAAGAGGACTTACGTGGACGGCGGTTTAACGACGAAGTTGAGTTAAAAGAGGCTGTATTAGCTCATTTTGCAGACAAACCAAAAGAATATTTTATTAAAAGAATTGAGTTGTTAATAAAGAGATGTAATAAGTGTGTTGAAGTTAAGGGCGATTATATTGAAAAATAATAAAAAATTGTTACTCTACTTTGTTTCTTTCGTATTCAGGCCAGGAAATTTTGGCGCTTCAACTTAGTCTATATGCTATCCGGTGAAACTAAGAATTTTTATAACGTAATAAATTACATCCTCTAACGCGAGTTAAATCCGGGTTTATAATCTCGATTCTTGGAAGCTTAACAAAAATGCAGAAATTCTTTAGTCTTCATCATCAATAAATTTACCTTTAGGAAAAATCAATTTTTCGAGCAACATTGTTACACAATTGCATCCATTAAGCGGATGCTCTGAAAACATCGATCTAAAGACGATGGATCCCAACGAATGACTTGATTTTTAATTTGAATTATAATTTTTTCTTTCAAATAATTTTTAATTTACAACGATGGGGGTTGGAAAGTTGCTCCGGGAATGAGGCAGGCGAGGCTTATGATGGATGGGCCCGCCGTTCCTCGGACCAGGGAGCTGCTTAGACTGACCAGAAGGGAGTGTAGAGCACTAACAGGGGCCTACACAGGACATTGCAGGCTTAGGAGGCATCTTTGCTTGCTAGGCATTGGAGACGACCTGGAGTGTAGGTGGTGCATGGAAGGGGAGGAGACCCCGTATCATCTGCTCACCGACCCTGATCGATCCGGACTCAGTGCACGGTATTGGGCTAAAGGAGTTGCTGACCTTCTATAGGAGGGGCGGCATTCTGGACGCCCTCTAGAGCGGCCTGGGGGCACAACGGGCCCATCTGGTGGCCTAAGTGCTTGGACGCCCGCGAGGGCGCCCCCCTTTAATACCAATACCAATAATACGATGTTAAATATCAAATTCAGTTATTCTTATTTAATGTCTTCCTTTTCATTTCAGCTTCTTAAGCTTGAAAAGATGTATTAGTTATGCTAACGGCTTAATACAAATCAAAATATAACACACTAAAAGACAATTTAAAAACAGTAAAATTGCAAACATCAAAAAACAACTACATATATAACTAATTATGACTTTTCTCCAAGAAAAACGAAAAAGAAAATATCAATTAAATTATACTACATATTTTTGAAAATACATGAAAACAAAGAATAACGGACAATAATATATACAAAAAGGAATATCAAGTACGGTTATTAGCTTTTGGATAGATTCTTTTTTCCATTTATAAATTACCCGTAAATGTGTGGAAAATGAGGTATTACGCGGCATGGTTGCTTTCTTAATAGTGAACACACTATAGGAAAATGTTGCTCGTATCCAGCGGTCGAATATATGGAAATTTTGAGTTTGTAACATTTGTTCCTTCTTGTCTCGAAGTTTATCGCGATTTCTGCCCCGGATTTCCAATTTTTCCAACAGAATTTCATCAATCATCAGGTTATGGCGTATATAGGCCGAAACGAAGTGTGTACGTGCTCGTTCGCCATATTACAGGCAGTTGGAAAAGCGCAAGTCTAGGGAATACATATCCGAAATAAGGTTTCACTGAACCTTTAGAAAGAAATGACATTTGCACAAAGGCGCTTTGTTCTTCTTTACACTTGATATAAATAAACGAAGTAGCCGATATCGATTAGGATGACGAAAATTTCATTACCACTTCAAAGCTGCAATGCAATACAAAAAAATGTTGCCACACAAAAATTTTAACAATAAATTTTAATGTGGTAAATAATAAAGTAGAATGTCGTCAGTTTTTTTTTTTTTTTAATTTTATTTATTTATTCTCAGAATTGTGAACTTTGTTGCTAACAAAATACAAATTGCAAATTGTTTATAAAAATTTCAACATTGTTGACATAACCCAATTTTTGACATTTCTACTAATATATGAATATATGGAATTGTTGCTTGTTTGAGAGAGATGGCTTTTTTAATGTAAGTAATGGCCATATTTGGGCAAATGAAGATCCTGATGCGATTTCACACAGTTTTTTGCTCATATTGTGTCCTAAATACACTATCGGTATATAAACGAACTTATGAATCAACCTGTATTATTTAAACTTTTTATAATACATTGAGGCAGCTCTCTGGTTGACAACTTATATATTAAGTACTTACAGAATATCTTTGACAAAAGTCATGGACGTTCTACTCCTAATTTTTGATCCGTATAAAATATAAAATTTTAAAACTGGATCCTGAAAAATAATCACCAAATAATTTGAAACAAACGGTGCTGACAAATGTCAAGGAATATGTTCAATGAATTCTTGACTAATTTAATATTTTTCCCGTAGTGGTGCAGATTTTAACTGAAAAATATCTACTTGAAAAAAATGTTCTGAATTTTAAAGCAGGCTGTATACGAAGAGAAAATTTAAGTTCAATTTAAATTTAAATTGAGATAAATTATTGTTTTAAATGTTCTCAAACGTGTTTCGTAAATTAAATTAATGTGAGAACTTTGAACAGACTAAAATGACCCGTATTTACTCAAACGTCGAAAACATTCAATTGCAATTCGTATTATAACAAGTTCCAGAAAAGACATTTTTGTTAATAAAAGAGATCACCACTAAAAATAAAACTAAGTTGATGTAAGCAAAATTAAAATATTATATAAGTCAAAAAGCTGATATGTTCTATTATCTGACACAAAATTGCACAGAAGAGCAGTATTTCAATATGGCTTTCGATGCTACCCGGCGTAAACTTAACTTAGCCAGTGGCTCTATAAAGTAATTCAAAGGGAATATGCATATTTAGTTTTGCAAAAAGAGCAACATAAAATTACACCACTAAGCTTCAAATTTATTTCGAATTGTGGTGACAAAGTTGGGTGTTATTACATTACGACGTATAGTTTAAATTTCAAAGTTTAAATAAAGCTCTCTATGACTTGATATTTTGGTTTTCGTTTTCAGTTATTTAGATAGATACCTCTTGTATCCGCGGTAATACTGGAATATTGCAAATTAATATCCAAAAGCAATCGAACTCTAATTTAATTATATAAGTCTTCCGGTCGTTTGTTACTACTAATCTATATTTCTCAACATTGCTCATGAAATAATTTTTGATTCGAAGTTGCAACACATCTTTCATGTTGATATACAAGATATTTTCTCATCTCGTTCGTAAAACGAAAGGAGCAAATGAAATATAAAATAATTTAAAATAGTTGTTATTTCAAATGATTTTAAATTTTTAAGGAGGAGAAAATAAATTAATTAGTAAATTATCAGAAATCAAAAAACGTCTGCGGTCTTTTTTTTTCAATTATATAAGATAAAATTATTTTTGTTTGCTCTAAATATGAAGTAA